CGTCAGACCTGCATGCGCTCTTGCATTAGTGCCGTGTTTCTTTAGCAGTGTTGAATAAATAAAAAAAACCCACCAGTACAGTTCACCTTGGTGTTGTTTTCACGTATATGCTCATGCTTTTCATTAGAGGCAAACTTGGCCTCAACTTAGACAAGCCGTAGCAGTCTGGCAAATGTATATATTTCTCTAGTGTCGCTGTGTTGGTCACTCCACCCTCCGTGATTTACTCGCATTTTAAAAGAACATACCGAAAACATTTTACTGGTCGTAACGTCTCGTAACATGAAAACGTAGGGTTTTTTTTCTCCCTCTCTCTCTCTATGTTTCATTTGCACGCTTCTTGGATTTCATCCCCACAGGTTTTCAGGTTTCATCAGGGGAGTCTATTTTTTCTTCAAGTTTTAGGAATTTCAAATTGTTCGCAAACTGCGCTGATTTTAATTAAAAAATCACCTAAAACCGCTCTGACACTTCTTGGAAACCGTGGGCTGCCTCGGCCGGTCCTCGCAGGCAGCTGGGCTGGGGTGCGCTTGAGGGCCGGAGCGTGCCGTGCGTCGAACCAGGGTCCACGCTGTCTCCGTTGATCCGTAAGCAGGGCAGAGATGCTGAGAACGCGAGGGGTCACGTGACGCCCCCAACCCCCCACAACCGTCCACACCGTCTCCATTACTTGAATTCCACATCTGGGGGTCATGGTCAGCTGAGGCACGGAGGCGGTGAGGTTAGAGGCGGAAAGGAAGTAGTCAGGAATGAGCTTCGCGATTGCAAGTTTTTGGGAAAGTTTTTTCGGAGATGGCGTTTTGTGGGATGATTCGGGAATGGAGGGGGCGTTGTGTGGGGCCTTTTAAGTGAGTGTTGTTGAGGCCAAACTCAAAGCCTCTCTGTGTGCAAAACACTGGTGACCATGAGCCAGTGACATAAATTCCACATTGACTCGATTGAGGCCAGTTCCTCCCTGGGATGACCACTGTTCCCTTTCGCACAAAGTGATTCTCACGTCGAATTGATCCAAAACTACGATTTATGCTCGTATTTTTCACAATCAGAATCTTTATTTATCCTGGAGGGAAAAAAATCTGATGTCCAGTAGGAGCACGTGGTAAGAACGTTACAACAACAAACGATAAAAAACACGATAGGAGTACAAAGTACAATAACGGTAAACAAACAGTATAAAAACATACAAATTATCATCCCTATCCTACCAGACAAAGCCCACTGAGATATTAACTTATTTTTTAAAAAAGCGACCTGGTCACAAATGATAGCTCAAAGTGGCTTATCGTTTGGACATTAATGGCAGCAAAATGTCCAGCGCTTTCAAATTGCAAGTCAAGCGCCTTCATCCACAGAGCGACTGATCTACATTACCGATGAAGGGTGATTTCTGATAATGTGGGTGATTATTATTCTATCTTCAGTTGCGGTGTCCAGAATTAGGATCATAATCTTTATTTAGACTGTAGGAATCCGATGAGCTATGAAGCTCTTTTTCACAGATGTCCAGTATGGGCCAGTCAGCAAGTTACAACAGCAAACGGTACAAAAAACGATAGGAGTGCAAAATACATAAAATGGTAAGCAAGTCACTAAATACATATAAATAATCAATGCGTTCATTATATAATTCCTATTTATCAAGTTTGGGCAAGGCAGCGTGCAACAACAACTAAGCAGTCCCAGACCACACCAAGATAACACACAGTTCCTGAATTAAATGGCACATAAACACTGACCTATTGATGCACAGGATATACAAAGTGCTCGTGCCGAACTCTACGAAGAAGCCTCTAAAGTCAAGGCAATGCATGCCAGCGTAGTGAGGCCATGTGTTTTTTGTGCCGAGTGCTCCGAAGTGCCAGTCAGGCCACCGGCCAACATGTTGGAGTTGAGACATTTTAATTATGACCCATGGTTAGCGCTTGTGTTTCTTGGCCTTTGGTTTGTTCTAATAGGTAGTGAATTTATTCATTGATTTCTCATTCCTTTTTCTCTTTAACTTTATAAGCTTTTTATTGAATGTATTGCGTTTCTGCACGCTCTCGGCAGTCATAAAAAACATTTATGGAAATGACATGTCACTTTTACAAAAGTCAGATTTTTTTTTCTTAAAAGGTTTTTAGGGTTTTTATAGGCAGACTGGTCTCCTATTGGGAATATTCCTTTAGCATTAAAAATGAAACAGGGGCGTCATGATTAAAAAAGTCAGGTGATTAATTTAGAATCATTATCCATTTACAACTGGTCCTGAGCCAGTGATGCACATTTTATATGCAGGTGGGCAGAGTGCTTATTGGAGCTCTGTTCTCATTCTAAGTCTCAACTTTAAAAATGTCGTTTCAGTCCTGCGAGCCAATCATAATCATTACCTCTCTGGGTCGGTCAAATGCGTACCAACCGGCGAGGCTTATTGCCTTGGTGGGAAGTCATCGGTGACTAAGTTAATGAAGAAATAATCCCTGTGATTGGAATGTGAAATTTTTACCGCTTTTCCTGGGACCCGCCATTGGTGATGAGCACTGGCCGATGCTAGTTTAAGTGTGGCATCGCTGCTACTTTTGTGCATTCATCTTCAAGCGAACGACACAGTGCATACATTTTGATTCGCAATGCAATGTAAATCGTGAGCAGGCTTAGATGTATTGCACACGTGTGTGCATCTCAGAGAGTATGCCAATGGATCTCAGGTAAGTAATGGTATCCCCCCCCCCCATAAATGGGTCATTGAAAATCAGGTCGTGAATGTCGGTGAGCCACTTGCATGCTGCTGCTGCTGCGACAAGCAAATTAATTTCATTTTGGAGCGTTGTGTCTTTCTCACAGCTGATTCTTGCTGATGTCTAGGTAAATGGGAACAAGATGAGAACGTATTTATTTCCATTGATGCTTCATCGTGTCGCCAGGCAAGGGGGTGTGTGCGCTTCGGAAGTTGAACTCGACATCTGAAAATTAACATTTTTACGTTTTTTTTTTATTTTCCTGCAATTTTATCGTTGATTGTGCTTTCGGTGTAATCACGTGAAATATCCATTCGGGTCTGTAACAGAGCAATGCAACCCTGAATGTTCCCATCAGACTACTTATAAGGCCCCTTGAAGTGACTTCTTGTCCACACAGTAAGGGGTAGCACTTTCCCACCCACCATGCCACAGAGAGTCATGTTTTTCGCTGGATGAAGGCACTATATTTTATTATCATCGATTGAATTTATCCAACTTAGGTGCAGAACCAAATTCAAGGTGACGGTTTTTTTTTTATGCAGGCTTTTGTCAACCTGGCTGAGACCATCAACTCTCTACACTTGAGAACCCGTCTTAATCACAGGCGACTGCCTGAATTCAAACCCAGCATTTCCACGGTGCCATCACTGAACCATATGGCCACCTCAATCTGAATGTTACAAACTCAAATCCCGAATCGGAGTCAGCTCAGCCCCACCGTACCTCTGGGGTCGATGCAATAAGCGCCACCTTTGCGTGAAGGCTGCAGCGGTTGTTCTTTTGCAGAAGCCAACCACCGCCACAGGAATGCGTAACTTCCACCACTGGTCCAGTGCTGCCAACGCAGACGACCATTGACAGTGGGGGGGGGGGACACTTTTTCTACGTGGCCTGATTAAAGGCGTGCCGCTCAGACCCAGAGTTACCTTGGCCTCGAACGATGACGGGAGGAAATGTTGTCTGGCTGGGCTTGGCGGCGGCTGCCCGTTTCTCCTGCGCGCACCAAGAACTCGCGAAGGGCCGAGCCCCCCGCGTTGTTTGCACAGGTGCCGTGCGTGATTGGCGCTTGGCAGCTGCCCCAGACCTGCAAGGCCCTGCGCCACAACGGAGTGGGCACGTCGAGCCGCTCTCAGGGCTGGTGGGTGGGTAGGCCGGGCTTGGTTTTGATGATGAGTTATCGTAGGTGTGATGGTAATGGGAGAAAGCAGTTGTAATTTCGAAAAAAAAATTCCCCAAAAACAAATTGTTCCCAATTACATCCCCCTGTTCAACTATCACATGCATGCATAAGGTGATGCGTTTAATATGTATTCTACTCCTGGGTCGAGGTATTACATAAAGACACGTAAATTAGAAGGTCTGTCAGAAACTGGGTTGCTTTTTAGAGGGTGGGAGAAATGACCCCACCTGCATGAATACAATATTTCTCATTCGCTGCCTTCTAATGCATTTAGAAAGAAAAAAAAAATTACGTATAAATTAATGGCCTGATTTTGAATTGGTATATTTTTTTAAGGAATAAAATATAATGTCCAATACGATTGATATTCCAACCCATTAATTGTAATAAACAAGACTTTCTCGCAACAAATGCTAATTGTACAAAACCAATAACCTCGTTTATTATGGCGCAGTGGTGAGCGTGCTTCACTACTTCACTGCCAACACAACAACCTGAGTTTGACCTCCGCCTCAGCTAACATCACTCGTGACAAATAAACATCGGAACTAGTTCTGAGTCTTCCCTTAGTCGGTCTTAAATTAATTCCTCGTGCGGTGTGTGTAACATCAGAACTGGAGAAACTATGGTCGCCTGGAAGAGCGATCACGACACCACCCCTCCACCGTGTAAGGTGCTCGCTCGTAGCACTTGCCCCAACGGTCTGTTAAAGCTAAACCCCGCGGTGTGAGATTTTTTTTGTGTGTGTGTGTGTGTGTGCGCATGCTCGTGCAGCCCAGGGGAGCGGTAGTGCAGCGGTTAGCGCGCTGTGAACCCGGCGATCCGGGTTCGATTCCCGCTCACGGCCGCCACCAGTGACGATTGTTTTAACCGGTCCTTGGCCTCCCCTCGGTCGACTCGGCCTCAAATGAGCACGTGGGGTCGGTGTGCAGACATTGTCACTCGGCAGACAAAGGCGGCCCGGCGTGGTGCTGGCCACCTTCACCCCCCCCCTCTTCGTGTGCCCGTGCCCGGCCTCCGTAGGTGCTGCTCGCTCGCACCACTTGCCCACACAGTCTGATAAGGCGACACTTGTGGTGGGATCCTTTGCCTTTGTGCAGCCCAGCTGGTGTCCCTGCGCGAGGAGCTGGAGTCGCTGCGGCGCGAGAAGGAGAGCGAGCTGCAGGAGGCGCGGCGCGAGCTCACGCAGGTGCTGGAGCAGGCGCGCACGCTGCGTCACGTGCTCGAGGACACGGCCACCGAGCGCGAGAACGACATCGCCATGCTGCAGGTGCGGCGCCCCGCCCGCACGCCGCGCACGCCGGGGGCTCTCGCGTGCCCCACTTCGCCGAGCACTCGCTCGTCCCCCTTCCGGTTCGCTCGTTTGCGTTCGAGCAGGCGCCGTTGGTTCCGTTGAAAGTTGTCGTTGAAACGCTGTCGGCGTTGTCTTCGACGGCCATCATCGACGACAATGCCGGACGAAGGCCTCGCCAAGCCGTCGCCGTTGGCCACGGTTTGACTTTGCGCCAAGCTCTTGAGCTGATTTCCTCGCTCCGTTTCCGCTGATTTCATCGCTCCGTCTCCCTGGAATTGAAATGAATCAACTTAGGCGAATGCGTTTTGATTTCAATGAGCCGCATCAGTTTTCCTACTTGTTAGTGGTAGACAAGTTGTCAGGTTGTTTTTGTTTAAATGTGTTAAAAAAAATTGGCTGTCATTATTCACGTATAAAATTCAACAAAAATTGCTTTGTGTGTGTGCAGTAATATCTGTTTAATAAACGTGTCTGGATTGAGATCATTAATGCCCTTGAATTAGTGTTCATGCACATCGCAGTTTTCCACAACACGCTCAGATCTGGTGTATTTTTGCAATGTATAGAAACATTGTTCACCTGTTTCGATTGTAAAATGTGGAAGAAGAAAAAAATATTCTTCCAGCGTGTTATCAGTCTGCTCTTGGATGAAGGATTTCCCAAAAGGGTGTCGGTCATGATTGCTCTTTGACCACACTTCATCATGCTGGTGAGATATGGTTGTAGCCCAGGAATTCTTACGATATCATTTGCCGCTGCTGTTGGCCTTTGCCGGTAATGGAGCTCTGCTTGCTCGCCTCATGGTCGCTGGGCGCTAACCACCACAGCGCCGCTCCATCTGTTTTGTTTATCTGGATGCATTTATCAGATAATCACTTTCAGTCGTAATCCCCATGTGCTGATGAAACAATGCCTGCAGCCTTGCACAAAAATGTCAATTGATGCATTGATGAGATTCATGCCGATGCTTAGGCCACAAGGCATCGAGGGAATTTCTTGGCAGTTTCGCATGTCATGACACGCACACCTGTTATCCAGTGACCTACCTCGAGGTAGGGTTGGTGGATCAATCCGAGAGTAAGCATGTGTGAAACTCCCAACTGCAGGTGCCAGCTCTCCTGCAGGGTGCGATGTCATGTCGTCTCTGTGGGCGTTTGTGTCTTTGGTGTGTACGTGTGGGAGTGGGTGGCAGAGTGGTTAGCTTGCTGCGCTACGAAACCCGACAACCTCCGTCCTCATTCCGTTCACAGCCAACATTGGTGGCGGATATCTGAATAGGGCTTGAGCCTCCACGAAGTCAACTTGGCCTACAATGTCAATACCTGGTGGTGCTGCGCGATGCGGTAACATCGGCACCGGGGAGACGAAGGTGGCGTCGCCACCCCGTCGTGCGCCGTGCCGGCCTTCACAAGTGCTCGCTAACAGCACTTGCCCCGGCAGTCTGTAAAAGCTCTCCGGGGGGGGGTCTTTGTCTTTGTGTCTCGCCTGGCAGGAGGAGCTGGGCCGCCTGCGCACGGAGCTGTTCCGACAGCAGCAGAACAAGTCGGATTCAGAGCGGCCGCGCAGCGCTGAGCACGGCTTCACGGACTCCACGCGCCTCCGGGGTGAGGGAGCACACAACAACATCAACAGCAACAACAGCAGCGACAACCAACGTTCATTACTGTGCGACAGGGATGATGTCCCCGCAGCTCTTTTTTCCAGGCTTGGTGTACTCCTACGCTACGTGAAGTAATGATGGCTCACTGGCGGGAGGTCACAGGACGGACCCAGGTGTTCTCGGTTGACTGAGTGTGATGACTGGCGGATACAATCACTGCACTCCATACTGTTTTAGCCGCCTGGCGCTCTGCTCGCTGCTGTGAGCATCGTTGTTGCACCCTCCGTTGTTGCTGAAGGGCGACTGCCTCCAACTGCCCAGAAACATCCGACCTGAACTTCCTCCATAGAGGCTGCTTTTGATGCCACTGATACCAGTAATTGGCGAGTTTCATCGGCTCCGAATTCTGTTTCACATCAGCCCATCCATTCTTTAGACTGAGCTTAACTCGTTTAGCCCCCTCTAGCCAATTAGAAGCTGCTTTGGCACGCGGTGGCTGGAGCTACAGGTTACATGACCCAGCTAATGCAACCCCTCGCCTGCCAAATGAGCTCACTAATGTGTCCAGATCTCTCAGGGATCCGTGAATTTCTGACACAGTCCAGTCTGCATTATAGGTAGGCCAGCCTGAAATTTCAAGCCAGCGCAGATGATCCGTTGCGTTCTTTCAGCTGGCCAGAACACCGCCATCAGCCAGGGTTTCCAGGGAGGTCTGGACTGGATACCTAGTGCATCCTTAGCAGCATGATCGGCATTCATTCCCCTGAACAGAAATAGGAGGGGGGGGGGTGGGAGGATGCCAACCCCAGCTGCAAGCAATGATCACATTCTTGCTTACAACTTTCAACAGCCAACTGAGACCAGGTTATTGTGATTTAAATTGCCGGCCCTAGGTAGTGTCTACTTCCACAGAGGAAGAACGGCAGGCGCATGTTACAGATGACAAGTTGATTGTGAGTGGGTAGATCAACTCCACGGTAGGCCCTGGTGTCAAGGTTGTTGCATTCACAGTTCCGCCATTCCGTGGTCCGACAGATGTCCCTGCTTGGACCCGCCATGCACTCAGTATGTTGTGTGGATTTGCCGTTGATGGAACAGCATGGTGGTGGTTGCATATATGAAGCAGCCTCCTTTCATTATTCGTGAACCTATCTGGCCAATGCATTCTAATCTAACCAAGCATCAGCATGATGACCAACTCAGGAATTAAAGTCTCCCATTAAGATGACTCTATCCCGAGGGGCCACTTTAGCCAGCACCTGGCAGCAGAGGTCAGGAGGTCATAGAGGGCATTGGTATTTGTGTGGGAGAGCAGGGTATACACAGAGCATGGATAAACAGACACACACAGACAAACACGCACGTGTATACAAACAGACACATATACATTTATACATGTATTGATGTTCACGTGCTGTTGGTGTTCACGTAGCCATATTAAACCTTTAGGGCAAATGCTGTTAGCGAATACCTATGACAGCCGGCACACCGCATGAGGAGGTGTGGTCAACACCACCCACAGACACGATAACAGCGACAACAGCCGTCGTTTGCCACTTAGTGGCGGTGACACCACCACAGCACTTGTGCTAGGCTAGGTGCACTTTGAGGTCACTCGAAGTGTCGAAGGCTCTGTGGCAGGAGGTCATCGGACAGGCCCACGCGTTGCAGGTTAACTGCTTGACATGACTGACAGATATCCACCGACACACACGTGCATATACAACAACCGCCATTCGCCAACTCGGTGGCGGTGACGTCACCACGGCGCTTGTGCCAAGGTACGTGCGCTTTAAGGCCACGTGAAGTGTCGAACGCTCGCTGGCAGGAGGTCACGGGACATCTGCCGGTCATCTCAGGTCCGTCGACCCCGGGTTGACTACCTGAGCTGATCGGCAGATGCACACGCACACATATACACACAGACAGAGGCACATGCATACACGCAATCAGACACACATGAGTACTCGCGCACACACACACACATGCGCAGCTTCCTGCCCCAGCGCCTCTTTGGTAGCTCCTGCACTCTCCTTGACCCTGGGAGAGGTTGTTTGCGTGGTCTCCAGGGCAACCCACGAGCAACAGGCAGCCTCCACGCACAATGAGGCTGTTTGTTAATTTGGGGCGTGTTCGCGAAATTCCATGGTGCTGCCGACAACACGGGAGGGGGGGAAGGGCCCTTTTCCTTCCTCGCTACAGCCCCCTCCAGTACCCCCCCCCACCACCGCGCCGTCAACCGGGAGCCCACTTCAGCCTCGGGTTTTCGTCGGGGGAATTTTAATGTGGCTCTTATTTCATCAATCCGCCCGGAGGGGGATCCAGCCCTCGTGTGACAAGGAGCCCGTTTCTAATTTGGGCTCATGCCTTGAAAATCATCCACGTCGCGCCGATCTCTCGGGCCGCCCGCCCCGCTCCGCTCCAGATGCGCATCATACGGATTTTTTTTTCCAGAGCGCTGTGTACATGCACGCGCGCGCACGTACGTGTGTGTGTGTACATGTGGGTGGTTAGCTTGCTCATGCTGCTGAAATGCGAGCTCTGGTTTTTGCTGTAATTTGCTGCTCGTGACTCACTGCCATTGTCTGCTCCCGTACCCCGGAGTAGACTTGGGAGGGATAACGCAATGAAGATTGCCAGGATATTAGGATTGTATGGCGATTGGCAAGAAGTAGTTAATATCAGTAAATAATGAGTAGAGCTATCACAACAGGACCCCCCCCCCCAACACAGTAGCTGGTGTTAATGAATTGCTCACCACTCTGTGTGTTGTTAAATCTACAGTGGCAAAACGTGTAGGGTACAGAGGTGATTGAGGGAGTAACTTTGGCTTGAACTGTCATCGTCAAAGATAACATGTGGGCAGAACATTATGGCAGAAAGTAGCAGGATAAATCCCAGCATGTTTTGCACGTGAAGATGACATAATTAATTTCTTAATTATTACAGGAATCAGAATCGTTATTTTTCCTGGAGAAATCCGATGCGCTATGAAGCTCTTTTTAACAGATGTCCAGTAGGGGCAGGTCATAAATGTTTCAACAACAAACAAAAGCACGTAATGAGTGCACAGGACGGGAAAGCCAAGCAAATTGCTAAATATAAATACACAAACTAGAACTTGTTTTTTTTACTTTACTAGGAAAGGCCCACTGAGCTATTAGTTATTTTTCAGAAGCGACCTGGCTATCACAAATGATAGCTCAACAAAGTGGCTTATCACGTGACATTTATATCAGCCGAATAATCTTAAACGCATGTTGATTCTAAATGTGGATGTAGAAACCGGAAGACCCGGATAAAACAACAACAATCCACGCGGCCAAGGGGAGAACATGCGAGCTGATAACGCGCACAAATTGAATAGAAAGAGGACGGTCAGAGGCGCGGGAGAATAACTTCGAGAGAGAGAGAGGTCTTGAGATTCCCACAGAAGGATGACGACGCCGCTGCTGCGTGTCACAGTGAGTGAGTGAGTAAAGAGGAGGAGGGAGTGATTTCCAGACGAGCGGAGAAGCGACGTTCGCCCCGTCTGGTTCCAGAGACGACACGGGGCTTGGCTAGGGGGCCACTCGGACGTAACACGTGTTGAACTTCTTTTGCACCCTACGTAGCCAACTGTGCTAATCAGAGGTGCGGTTGGCCGACCCGCGAGGTTCCATTCTTGCGCGTTGTTTCTGCCGCAGCCTGGCGATGGCCAGCAACTCGAGAGCCGGGGTTTGCGAAATGTATCGCCTCCGATTAGGACTCATCGGTACGGAATAACCGTAGTTGCACACCAGTGCCATTTGAGGCCGAGAAGCTCGCGTTGAGCTGCTCCTCTCCCTGCGCTGTGGATATATTCTCCGCAGGCTAAATGGCAACAAGCAACCTAATTCTTCCTGCACACACGCTCTCGAGCTGAAGAAGCGATTCAACAGCCAAACAATGCGTGCGGGTCGAGAAACGAGCGATAGCATACTTTGCACAAAAACACTTTCACACAGAAAAAGCAAAACATGACATGAATCTCAGCGAACATGTTGGTGAGTTTTAGCATCATCATCAGCAATTGTATTTATCGCCAGTAACACCAATATATATATAAAAATGTTACCAGGTAAGGCCCACTCAGGTCTCTAGCTCTTTTTCAGAAGCGACCTTGCCACAAATGATGGCTCAACAAAGTGGCTTATCATGTGGAATGTAAAGCAGACAAATACTGTAAACTCAAGTTTCTAAATGTGGAGGGAAAAACCGGAGGACCCGGAGAAAAATCCGCGCGACCACGGGGAGAGACATGCAAACTCCAAATATACAGGTGTAATGGTCGGGATTGAACCCACGACCTCCTGTATACCAGGTGAGGTGGTTAACACCTCGCCACCGCGGAGCCCGAATACAATTTCCACACAAAGAGCAGCGTGACCGATGATGTGGAAAACGCGAAACGCCATTTACAAATGAGCAAATTGCTGGCTTTTTACATCTCGTCGCTCGGTGACCCCCCCCCCCGAGCGCTGGCGACATCGCAGTCCAGCACTGACATTGGACCCAGTGTACGCCAAAAACAGTGCCGGGCCTGGCAGCGGAGCTCCTCGACGTGCGGACCGTAGCCAAACCCCGCAGGCGTCCGTGCTCGACGCTCAAGCGACCGCCGGCTTCTGTGCGTGGTCCACAAAACCAAATGCCCGTGCCTCCTTCCGCCTCGGCAGTGATGGGTCTCTGGCTCGCGCGCACAAAGAGGGAAGCCATTACCCTCAACCCTTTCCTTTAGCTCGCTCCCCTCCGCCCCCACCAAAGACAAAGATTCCCCATGTAGCCGTTAACAGATTGTTAGGGCAAGTGGCGTTAGCGAGCACCTATGGGTGGCCAGTACTGTGCCCGCCCGCCCGCCCGACTTTGTCTCCCCAGTGGTGATGTTTACATATCACACCAGGTACTCATTTGAGGCCGAGTCAACGTGGGGCCAGGATCGGTTCAGATAGATAATTGATCATTACCGATGTTAGCCGTGAGCAGGAATCAAACTCAGGTCACCGGGTTCGGGATCGTCGCGCAGCCCGCTAACTGCTGCGCCAACGCTCCCCGCCCCCCACAACCACCACCTATTCACTCAGCCCTCGGGAGCCCTGCCTTCTTCCCCGTTAGTTTGACCGTCTTCGCTCGTTCATGAGCGCTCGCTTGCGTGGAGCAAAAAACACAAACCCCGGGGTCTCGAGCACAGACTCCCAACACAGACTCCCAACACAGATGCGCCGCCACGGCCTTTCCAGCGTGCACCGTCTGGGGCGAGGAAAAACAGATCATATTTCGGCAGGCAAAGAATAATACACGGATCCCTATCGCACCCATATGCAGCGCATATGGCAGAACGCATGTATGTACCGTACGTGAAGCGTGCGTGTTTGTTTGTCTGACGCGTGCATGGGTGTGTGCTGGGGGAAATGTAGCGTGGTGGGGGTTAGCGAGCGTCGCTGCGCTACGAATACAGCCACCGAAGTTCGAGCTCCAGCTTACAGCCAGCATCGGCGACGATGCATCTGAACAGGTCCTGGGCCTCGCCTAGATCGACTCGGCCTTAAATAAGTACCTGGTGCGGTGTGTCAACGTCGACACTGGGGAGACAAAGGCGGTCGGACGTGGTGTTGGCCGCTCGCCGCCCCCGCATGTGTGTGTAGGCCTTCATAGGTACTCGCGAAGAGCACTCGCCCCAACAATCTGTTAAAGGCTACTTGGGGGATCTTTGTATGGGTATGCAATGTGCGTGGTGTGTGTGTTGTGGCGAGTGTTGGTCGGCAATGCACTGCAATAATGCGAGTGACCTTGGCTCAGTTCCTTACCATGCGCAATGCTGGTTGCAATTAGTATCAGAACATGGGGTGACCTTCTCTAGGTCAACTCAACCTGAATTAAATGAGTTCCTCGTACAGAGATTCATCAGCTTTGGGGTGACAAAGATTGTTGAGTACATGCAGATTGGCCACATAACCTACTCGCATGTTTTGCGTTGACTTTAATAGGTGCTTACAAACAGCACTTGTCCCAACATTCTCCAAGGTCGAATGAGCACCATGTGTGTGTATGTGTGTAAAGTAGTGCAAGTTAATCAATGTGCCTGTGGCTGTCTTCAGTTCTGTGGCATGCATTAGTGGCACAGTAGTCAGCACACTGTGCTATGCATCAAGACACCTGAGTTCAAACCCCGGCCGTCGATCACATTGCTATCGGATATCTGAAAGAGTCGGGGAGTCGTTGATCCACCAGCCTGCACTTACCAGCATGGTGAAGTATGGTTAAAAACCCTCATCATGGCTGACAATATCATGGAAGAGGCCTTCATCTGGAAGTAGGTTGATAGAGGAATATACATTACTGTTATTATCATTGTGCATGTAAATCATCATTATTATTAAGTTGTGTATATAATACACTGCATTTGATTGAGCATTACTGTTGCGTACGTGTGTGTGCGCGTGCGTCACGTGAAACAAAGCCCTACAGAAATACACGAACGTTATTATATATATTTTTTTAACCTGGCCTCAGCCCTGTCCGACTGTGAGTTAGTGGTCTCATAATCCTCCTTGTGTGTGGTTTCAAATCACCTCGCGTGTACGTGCGCATGCACGCACGCGCACACACGTACACCCACGCACGTGGGTGCTGTTATTCCTTGCCGTTTGATGTCGCGTTCTTCCACGTGCTTGCGTGTTTTCACAAGGCTCCTTATTTGCCCACTTTGGGGACCTGTATACGTGCTTTCACACCGGCAAGTTGAAAGTGCGAGCGTTTTTTCCAGGGGAGCGCGAGTGCGCTCTTTCATCTCCGTTTGCGCATTTCCAAGGATAAGTTTCGAGGGGTGTTAAGCGCAAAGCGAAATGCACATGTCCCATTAGTCTTTCAGAAATCAGGAGGGAGCATGCTGGACACTGACCAGTTTAGCCAAGAGTGGATCATTATTATTATTATCATCATCATCATCCTTGTAATTATGCTTGTTTACCTGGGAATGCCTCGCTAAGTCTCAAGCCGTGCGTATTTCTTTCTATTTTGTTTAACCAGATCAGAACTCAAGAGGCCAGGATAAAGTCTCAATTGGAAGAGCGAATTGGGTCACCAAAATGGCTAAAGAAAAACAACTTGAAATGTCAAGTTCCTCGGGCCTTAACACAAAAGTACAATGAATATGGACGGATTCGGTCCAGCATGACATCTTGATGTTGAATCAGGGTGCCTGTCTGCTCTAACGTGCGTGAAGAATAAACCACAGCACTTAGATTTTGTGTGTGTGTGTGGCTCGTGGCCACAGCTGACATGTTTGCCAATCGGTTTAACTTTCAAGATGGGTGATTGCTCTGGTGAATAGGCCTCAAACGAGTACCCGGCGTGGTACGTAAATACCAGCACAGGGGAGACAACTGCAGCTGGACGTGTCGCTGGCAAAACAACTTCCTTGTGCCAGCCGTAATAGGTGCTGACAGCAAAAAAAAAATCATGACCGTTGTCTTTTGCTTCACGTGTGCGGATGCTGCGCGTGTGTGTGTGTGTGGTCAATGGAACTCCGTAGGCCACGTGGAGAGGCTGGAGGGAGAGTGCCACGGACTGAGGGCAGAGTGCGAGGAGCTGCAGCGAGAGCGCGATTCCCTGAGGGAGCAGCTACACGGCCTGCACAAGGAGATACAAAGGTGGCGTCGCTCACTTGTATGCCCGCCTATTAAGCCACCACTCGGTCATTCACTCATTCAAGGCAAAGTTTTCCCCCATTATAGCCTGAGCAAGTGCTGTCACTGAGCACCTACGAGAGCCGGTACGTTACACGAGGGGGTGGGTGGCCAGCACCACGCCCGACCACCTTTGTCTTCCCAGTGGTGACGTTTATACACTGCACCAGGTACTCATTGGAGGCTGAGTTGACCTAGGGGAGGCCCAGGACCGGTTCAGATAATCATCACCGGTGTTGGCCGTGAGCGAGAATTGAATTCAGGTCGCGGGGTTGGTAGTGCAGCGTAGCGCTAACCGCTACACTATCCATCACCATTCGGTAAGTCATTCACACATTTCTACAAGTATCCAGCCACATGTTAATTCGCTTGTTAAATCACTCATTCAATTAACCAAACACTCACCTATTAACTCACTCACAATTATACACCCACTTGCTAACTCGCTCACTCAGTTTCCCATCTACCCACCCATGAATGGCGATGACGATGACAGCGATGCTGACGATGACGCCTCCCGCAACCCCTTGTGCAGTGCCCGCGTGGAGGAGCAGGAGCTGCAGGAGGTGGTGAGCGGCCTGCAAGCCTCACGAGACTCTCTGGCGTCACGACGGAGCGCAGGCCCGGACGCCGACGCCGCCGACGCCGCCGCCGTCAGGGACGCCACCCCTGATGGTGCACGCGACGAGAAGGGGAGTTCGCTCGGCGACGGTGCCGAGGAGCCGTGGCGAGCCCCGGGGGAGACCGCGCACACGGAAGCGGCGCCCGCGGACGGCTCGGAGGCCGGTGGCGGGGAACTCCAGTTGCAGCTGCGGCAGGCGGAGAGCGTGGCCGAGTCTCTGCAGAAAAAGGTAGAGCGGCGCGTGCGGACGGATCGGTGTAAGCGCGCAGCGCTGTGTTGTCCTGCAAAGTAAAAGCGACGGAGCGGCGCTCACGTTAGTTTTACCAGCCTTGAGCCAGCGGTGGAAATTGCATGTTCGCGTGGTCGGTGGAGCATTCTGTCCACGAGGCGACCACTGTTGATGGGCCGTAATTGATGCCCACGCTCTTAACCGTGGAAGGATGATGGGCTGAGTTGAGCCCAAACTGGGATTTGAACTTTTTGTACCCTTCTCCTCGTGAGACGTGCACTCTCTCAGCACAGTGACGCGTGAATATTCAGCCCAGCTTTGGAGAGTGTGGGTGAAAATATTACATTTGAAAATCTGAAGATTGAAAATGCGCCTTTTTATTTTTTGTTAATCTTGTTACACGCGGTAGCTTTTCAATCGAATTCAAATGCAATTTTATGCCTCTGTTTTTATACAGGTATATATATATATAACTTCAAAGGGAAATGCAAAAATTACGTCCTGCTATATGAACACCTCGAGTTCGGTGAGGTGCAGCCACATGACACAAGCATACAAAGGTGCAGTGTTTGCAATGCAGGTGTCTGTGGCTGTGATAAATATTATTTATCTCCGTGATGGATCACTTGGCCCCCGCAACGCGAGGTTAGAGCCGTTGCCGCCCCCCCCCCCACCCTTGTTATTGCTGAAGAGGTCAGCAAATGTACCCACGCCGTTCCGCACCCACGGAGACAAGGATGTGGATCGTTGCCACGTACAGAAAATTAGAAGGGCAAAGCGAGCACAGCGGGGTAAGGACGAGGGTGAAGGTCGGTCAGCAATTGCAGGAAACCTGTGCGTGAGCTGCAGATGAATTGGAGAATTGGTGTCGTCAATTAAACTGCGAAACAGGCGTGCTGATGACGGTGCAGTATTCAGAGGAGCTTTGACATTGTGAACGCTCACTGTTGCGCCATGTGTATACTGCGGCGGTGAAGCGGCATGCACGATCGTTATTGTTTCATTTGCCACATGCACAGCAGAACTGTTTTGCTCATTTACGTTTTGTATGCACTTTGTAGAAGGTTGGCGTGTGTGTGTGGTGAGCGTAGTTGATGGGATCGGTAGTGTCGTGGTCAGCGCACTGTACTGCATATCTGGCGACCGGAGTTCCATTCCCGCTCAGGGCCAACACCGGTGACAATTATCTGAACCGGTCCTGGGCTTTCACTAGGTCGACCTTCGCCTGAAATTAGTACCTCGCGCAGTGTGTAAACATCAGCACCGAGGAGGTAAATGCGGCCAGGCATGGTCCTTGACCACACCACCTTTTTGCGCGCCTTGCCAGCCTTAATAGTTGCTTGCTAAGAGTGCTCTTAGCAGTCTGTCTGGTTTTGCAAGGGGCCTTTGTGGCTTATGGGTTCCTAAATGATTACCCGAATAACGTTTCCAGTGAAACGAGTTCCTATTAGATGAATCCCTTGCTTGCTCACCTCTGACTTCACAATTAATTGAACAGGTAAGCAAACTCTTGATGATTCACAATGCAAGATGTTTATATTCTGGAATTCACAACATTCGTCCGGGATTGGATATCGAGCTCAAGTTAACCCAACCACAAAGTAGGGAAGAGGGATGTTTAGAAAAAAATAAAACCCAGAGAAGAACAACCACCATGGTATTTGTACCTGTCAAATAAACCACAGATGGTTCCTACCCACTGTGGCATCAAATACAAATCTGAGCACTTTTCACTGCACAGATGTCCTGCCGCCTTCAAAAGGCTCCAACAACCTGCGTGCCAATTCCCACGTGGCCACGCCCGAGGCTGTTTGTTGCAAACATCCTTGAGGTTTTTATTTTATTTTCCCGTGTTTGCGTCTGTTCCTAATCCTGCACCTGATGGTCATGGCGGATGCGTCGCATCAGGGCGATAAACAGTGTCCAGAATGTCAAACACGTCTTCCCGTAAGGATTTTGGAATCATGTGCCAAGGTCATATTGAGCACTGGGATACAAATGAATGCTTTGCCAATGACCAAATCACCCAAGATGCATTCAATCTCCGAAGCACAAGAAGGGGGTTCAGCCTTGTTAGTGCGTGGATGGAAGGCTTTCCCAGGTGTTATCGGCCTGTGCCGTGAGGTGGCCAGCAGATGGCAGTACAGCAGTGGATTCTTGAATTTGTCTGTGCACAGTTTTGAGAGCTACTTCATCGTGTGAGGGTATTCTCTGGGCTCTCCGGGTTCCTCCCATATGAAGCCAAGCACTCACTCATCAAGTTGACTACACATCCTAATGCAGGTTCATCGTGAAAAAAAAGTCTTGAGGCTCAGTGAAGCTTTTTTCAGTAAATCAATTAAGTTTATTGGTTTTTTTTAATAATTATGAATACACAGTTTGGTAGGAAGATGTACGATATTGTTCTTGACTGAACGCTTAAAGGTCCGAGTTGATGAATGTGCAAAGCATGATTACAAATGTTAACTGGATGCAAATGGTAGCTGCGTGTCAAAGCTCTTAACCAGCATATCTGGGATCATGGGTTTAAATTCAGGCAGCTGCTTCTCATAATTAAACTTTTAAGAGATGCTCGCTAATATGACTTAGCACATTGATCGAAGACTCAAATGGGGGCCCTTTGTCTTTGCTGGTGCAAAAAGCACCCACATTACAGACCTCCGTCGTGTAAAATGACGAAGCCCCTCTTCTGTGTCGTACTGATCGCTATGGAGGGTCACTGATGACACTTTGTGTGTGTGTGTGCGGGGTGCGGTGGTTTAGTGGTTACCGCACTGCGCCACAAACCTGGCGGCCTGCATTCAATTCCAGCTCACGGCTAACATCAGTGGTGAATGAACTGGTCCTGGGCTTCCCTAGTTCACACCAGCCTTAAATGAATACCTTATTCGGTATGTCAACATCGGCGCTGGGAAGACAAAGATGGCTGGGTGCGGTTCTTGCCATTCCACGTTGTCGTGCCGACCTGCACAGGTGCCCGCTTAACAGCACTTGACCCCAACAGTGTGTCAAGGCTTACACGGCTCTTTGTCTGCTGCGCTTGTTCCCAGTGCACGGAGGCACAGCTGGAGCTGAAGGCACTGCAGGAGCGACACCAGGCCACCGAGCAGGAGACGCGCGGTCTGCACGAGGAGCTGGAGCTCTGTCGCGAGAAGCTCGAGAGATACCGCAAGGTCAAGGTGAGGTCCATCGGCCGCTCTGCACTTGGTGGGCGGTTGCTTCGTATCAGCTCCTGTGCCCCCCCCGCGTTGTCTGGAGATCCCTCTCCCTTCACCGTCCTCACTCTTCATTTGTTTTTATGCTGTCCCAAGTCCAAAGCCGAGACGTTTCTTCTCTGCCCACGGCTAAGTGTCTCTCTCTCTATCCATTGTTTTCATTTTCACGAGTATTTTATTGCAGTTCTCTTTCCACCGCAAAAAAAAAAAACTTCCAACCAATAGACTTCCATGTCTTACCTCTATCCAAATGAAAACATTAATATAATCCATCCTTTCACCCCCCCCCCTCCTCCTTTTCCCCATCCCCTTTACTCCCGATTTTATGTTTTTTCTACTTTGCCTTCCCCTCCCCCCAAAAGTGCGTGCTCCCACTCGCGGTCCCTACCTGCGTTGGGGCACTGAGCCCAATTTATCCCCGCCATCTAAACCCAGGAGCACAGAGTTTGGGACTAATGTCCGTGGAGTTTCTGTGCTACCTACCCATGTCACGGTTTGTGCTTCTGTACCGGGCTCATGTTGGAAAAATATATATAAATCCATCCTCCCAGACTATTATTATCTTATTCGGCCACACGATGAGCAAGTTCCCATACCGTGCACAACGTCGCTCGTTCTCCATCAAAGCCTGCGCCGTATATCTCAGGACCTCTTGAGGCATGGTTGCACAAACGCAAGCCTTTAATATGGCAACCTTGAAATTGGGTCAGTGTGGATGCAATGAGAAAAACTAACCCAACGTGTGCCGACTCTCAAGTTTCCAATGCCACTGTTGGAAACATGAGTCCGTGTAGCAGTCACACGTACATATTGCGCGTTTGACAAAACGTGGCCGACACAAATTGCGAAAGTGCACGAAGCAATCTGGACTGGATTGTCTCACGCTCCGTCGAATCCGATGTCGTGGATTTTGGCAGTTGCGTGAAAAATACGACACGAACCCCCTGCGCTCGCTCATCCGAAGCCGTGCAGGCGATAACAGCGGAGGTGTCTGAGAGATAAAATTTCAGCTCGGGTGTTGTTGGCAAAAGCGGGCAATTGTGTACATATCGGTTTCATCAAAGGCTCTGTCAACGTAAACAAGACGCCGGAATGGCACATAACATGACATCACCGCCCTGAAGCCAAGCTCGAGACGAAATAAATGAAATAGCGCGATCCCCGATAGTGTTTTGATTTTTTTTTGGGCGGCCTGTTGTCATCTCGCATGTCAAATTACGGCGCTGAGGAACGCCACGTTAAGGAGTTCTGTTATCACTGGCAGCGGCAACACTCGATGGAAAGTAGCGTGCGACGTTGACTGCGCTCGGCGGCGGTGTCGATGGCGAGCTGACAGGAGCATTCGTCCCCCGCAAGTGAACGCCTTGCTGAAAGATTGCGCTGCTGAGGCCAAGCAGTCTTGCAGTCAACTGCTCGCTACCGAGCCAGTGTGCACGGGCCCGCAGGTTCCATTCCCGCCAGAGCTGCCCCGTGATGCAATGAAGTCATCGTCAATGCGTCCTGCGTTATTCGCGGCCGTGTGTGTGTGTGTGTGGGGGGGCGAGTTCCACCTTTGGGGAGGATGGTGGCATGCAAGGAGATGGGAGAGTGTGTCTTTGGGTACAGCAAGGGTGGCCGCTGACTTTTCTCTCTGGCGCTTGAGTGGCATTCCACTTTGGGCGTGGGGTTTTCCTCCCGCGTGTTAAAATAACTTCCTGTAAAACTATCCAAATTCGCCTTGATACTCATCAGTGAAACTTTCCTGGGTAATTATATATATAATCTATACAAGTGTAATGACTGCTAAATGGATGGTAATTATATTATTGCAGATGCAATAGTATTCAGCATTGTTGCATGTAAGTGTTCATATCTTGTACATAATGTGTACAGGCAGAATTTGATCAACGGGGGGATGTGGCGGGAGACGGGGCGATTTATTTTATACTCGAACCGGCTTTCTGGAGGAGGGCGTGTGGCAGTTATGAACGTAAGGACAGCGAAGCAGCGACTGTATGCGCTGCATTTAGAAACAAGATAGATTTTCAGGTCTTTCGAGTTTCGAAACGATTGTACGTGGCAAAGTTAGTAAAGGGAGCGACCGCCAATCTCGGCAGATGTACAGGAGAACGCATTGTCTTGTCTGCTGATATAAATTCCGGTGATTGATTTTTAAATATATATTTTTTTAAATTGCTGACATTGGATCTCTTCACGTGATGGGGGAGAGGTTAATCCTTTGAATTGCACGAGAACGCGCGGCTGCACAACAGGCGTCTCAACGCAGTGTCGCGTTACGCTTATTACGCGAGGCGACTGGTGGGTGGCCGCGTTGGGCGTAATGAGGCTTTATAGTGCGGTGTGTTTACGCCATTGTGCCTGATTGCGTTTGCCTTCGTGCAGGTGTGAATCATTCGTTGGTCAAACAGGGAGGCCTCGTTTCACGCAGAAGTTGCAGGCTCATTATTGGGTCTCCGAATGAACATGTTTTTTTTTGCTTTTAAAATTATTTAGAATTTAATTAAAATCTTGAAATTATTACGGTATATTATACATACATTAGGCATTAAAAAACACATTTTATTTTACCAGGTATGACCCACTGAGCTATGTAGCTCTTTTTCGGAAGCGGCGACCTAGCTGTCACAAATGAAAGCTCAACGAAGTGGCTCATCACGTGGCAATGTATTGCAGCCAAATACTCTAAATCTGTGCCAATGCATTGTTTAAATTAGTTTCACAAACACCTGTGCCACACACATCGGCGCCATGTGTGTACGAGAATCGTTTACCATTCACGAGATTTATATCTAACTGAGATGGCAATGTTACACGAAAGATAATGAAGTGAACAGAATCGTACACGCAAATGACATTGTAAAAATTAGACAAAATAAGTGAGCGATTCTTGAATTAAATCGTGACCCCCCCCCCCCGAATCGTTACAGTTCATTGAGTCGTGGTGCTGATGAATCATTGCGGTATCCACAAAAAGGGACCTGCTTTTGTGCAGTTTAACACGCTCTTTTCTTGAAAAGTATATGAGAGTGTCGACAGAGTTCCCGGAGAAGGCCCACACACCGTGATGGGAGAACACTCCGATGACAGATAGGGTCACAATCCCAGTTGCTGTACAGGCACCTCGTTTGTTCCCCCAAGATGAGTGTCTCACACGGTCAATAGCTCCATCTCCATGCTAATCACCAGCTCCTGCCTCGGTGGCTGCGTTACAGCCATCCATCGCCACCACCACACCCCCGGCAAACGCACACTTATCCGACACAAACGCGCGGAAGGTGAGCGTCGGGTGACCTTGACGGGTCACTTAACACCACTCGCGGGAGGCTTTCGAAACACTTTCAGCTGCCTTGCAAACGTGGTGGCTGAGCGGGTGTTCATTTTTAAGCCTTAAATTGAGAATGACAACGCAGTTGTCGGGGCTTGGGAGACGCGGGTCGATTGAGGCGGATGGTGACGTGTGCTTTGGCGAGAGCGCGCGTGTGTCACGAGGCATCGTGGGGATTAGCTAATTATTGCGGTATTCCTGCCCGGTGTGCTCGTCGTATCATGGGCATGGTAAGCGCGCCGGGGGAAGGTGGGCGCTGCCTTGGGACTGAGTCGTGTTCAGTGGTCGTTGAGCTGCATTGGCTTCCAGTTGCTTGAACGACGAGGTCGCACTCGCTTACACGCAAAGTGCTTGCGCCACAAATGAACTACAATGCTGATCTCGTCAGGGAGCACACACCATCATGCAAACTCCGGTCATCCTCGCAGCAGGTCTCGGCTAGCCATCGAACGGAGACGGCCACCACATCGCGCGTTTTCAGACGCGCTTCTGCGGCCATCCGGAACGCGCTCTGCCTTCCCGTATTAGGAAGACACCGGAGCTACGCACTTTTAAATCAGCTAGATGGAAAACTCATCTATTTTCGAACTGCTTTTCGCGTTTAGTTTTGTTGTCCTTCACCAGCACCTCCAATTAGCACGGTTTGGCTACGTACGGTACGAAATAATTTCTACATACATACGACAAATACAGGTGTGCAGTAGTTGGAGCAGACATAATGGGAGGGTCAAAGTGTTCGTTGGCTAGCTCTGGAAAGAGCTTGCATTCTCTCGGTCAGCCTTCCTGTTTTGTTGAAGGTGAATTCATTGAAATGCATTATCTGATACTGCCCTCGCCAAGATAATATTCACACGCTTAATATAAACAGTGCATTATGGGCGCGAGTAACTTTGTTTATTTGAAATATTTCATAGTCTGCTCGTGCACATGACGTTCTATACAATGCACTATACAGCAGAAGAGGATGCTGCGGTTATTTCACCAAAAACATTAATCTGGTGGCAGCGAGACTCAAGATTTACTGCCCTTTTTTAATTTGTATACATATACCTAGGTAAAAAATAACCACTGACGTCTGGAACAATTTGACTTGCTTCCTGAAGGACACGCGGTGTCAAGGATCATTCGAGTATCCATTGACACTCGATCACTGAACGCTCCTGTGGGCCCCCTCTGGGTTTGCGGAGAAGCCGGGGCAGAGCCCTGAAGGGGGCCTGTGCCACCGCCACCACGGATTTTTTTGGCGCGACTGCGCGCGCCACCACCGCTTCATAAACACGCGCTGGAATCGCCCCCCACACCACCACACCAGACCACCACCACCACACCAGGCCACCACCACCACACCAGACCACCACCACCACACCAGGCCACCACCACCACACCAGACCACCACCACCACCACCACACCAGGCCACCACCACCACCACACCAGACCACCACCACCAGACCACCACCATCACACCAGACCACCACCACCACACCAGACCACCACCACCACACCAGACCACCACCACCAGACCACCACCATCACACCAGGCCACCACCACCACACCAGACCACCACCACCACACCAGACCACCACCATCACACCAGACCACCACCACCACACCAGACCACCACCACCACACCAGACCAC